TCTTTGATACCAGTTTTCAGTTATCTGGAGTGTAAGGGAAAAATCATATTCCATAAATAAAAAGTATTTTCTGCTTTCTCTGGTACTATTTACTCAGAGTCAGAATATTTCCTTAATTTTTGTGTCATCATTTAAAAAATAAAACAGGACAACACCAAATGGAAAACCTATACTCAACCTTGTTCTGATAGCAAGATGATAATGTGAGTTCTTACCCAGAAGGAAATTAATCTATGTGAGAAAAAATACATGTACGATCTTAGATTTAATAATCTGTTAGTAGCTAGGTAGTTCAAAAATATGAAGGGGATCCTTGTAGGTGATAGCTCTAAAGCATTTAGAATAGAAAGGAGGTGATATAATAGAGGGCAACTGAAAGGGGAAACTACTTGGCATAAAAAGTTTTCTGTTTTTATACATCCATAATTTGTTTTCTTTCCCAGAACCACAGAATGTTCAGGTCATAAGAAACCTCTCGAGGTCATCTTGCCTAATTCCCACTGTTCAGGCACAATCACCTAGAGCAGGTTACCAGGGCCACATCCATCTACAATTCAAATCAAAATAGTTCATTTCTGATTTTTGAAGTTTAGAAATAAAAGTCATAGAGAATGTTTGTCAAAGCCATTCTTTTGCTATTAATTATATGACATAATTTTCTAGAAAATATTGACCATTACTGATATTTATTTCTCACAAATTATACTAAGAGAAATGTCATTTTAAATTACTTTAATCTGAAACCTATGTAAAATAGCCTTGCACTGCCAACTATCTTCTGTTTCTTTCAGATTGTTTTTCATATGTAGACTATCTTGTTTTAGTGGACTTTTTTTTGGTGAAGAAGATAGAAAATAATTCACAAGAATTAAAATATTTATGGAAAGGTAACAAGGGTTTTCAGAAACCTGAAAAATAGAATAGGAGACATTTTGATTGCACTTACAATTAAGCAAAATTTTTCTAACATTCCTTCAATATTTTATGTGATTAGTTTTTCTGTTGACTTATAAAAAAAGTTTCTCAGCATAAAAATCCCAAGCCTTTTATATGCACAACTGGTTTTACAAATCATCATGATCACACTTTTTGTTCAATTTTTTTTCACACATTTGCAGTGTGTTTTTTGTTGTTTTTCTGCTAACAATTGACTATAGTGAATTTTTAGACTATATGGAAAATGATTTTAAAATGTACAGAGAAAATTATATTAAAAGCAGGGTAGAGAGCGTTATCTGAGTTTCTCATTCCTCATAATTTTCCCCCTGTGTTGTCTGACATAGTCATTTGTCTTCTGACTCCATGTTCATCCTATTGCCCTACAACATGTTTTCACACAGTGTATATGAGTATCAGACTTCCAAGATAAAAAGCTGTCAGTGTTCTGATCTTTGAATCACCTCACTTCTATAATGTAGCATACATTTTATGTTTCATTTTGGGGAAATTTTCTTGTATTTTTATCTCACTATTCTTCCTAAAAAATAATAAAAACTATGTAAGAACTCTGAAAAGGTCCCTCTGAAACTCAAGGCTATTTAAGTCATTTTTAGCAAGATATTGGACTGATATAAAATACGGCAATTTATCTTGCTTGATTAGGATGTCTGTGTGATTTAAGTACATATTAAATTACAAGATTATGGATTTTTGACTGAAGAAATTGCCCTGTTTCATTTATCATTTCAATATAGACTTTTTTTAAACTGTGCATGATTTAACTCATAAACCATTATGACTTATTGAATCTTTGTTACTGAACCAGTAGCCACTAAGTTAACTAATTTGTGCCACCATTTGATTTTGAAGAATGAGCTGCTTCAGGTAAATCAGAAACCAGGACTGCAAAAATTATCTTTTAAGTGGAATTTTATCATAAATAAAATCTGTTTTCACCACCACTGCCGCCTTTGGTGATAACAGTTTATAGGGACTCCAAAAAACTTACTAAGGTTAAAAAACTAAACAAATTTTTTAATTTATAGAGGAACATGCTATGCACCGTCTATTTGTGATTAACATTTATTTCCGTTCATCATGTGTCTGTCGTTCTAAGCATTTATTTTTAGAAATGAAATTTCTGAAATTTCATAACCTCATGAAATTCCATATGTACCAAATCCACGTGTGCAGCAAAACAGAGAGGGTCCAAAACTCATATCATATTCATCACTATCATATTCAAATATCATATTCATCACTATTTCAGTTCATGTATACACATGAGCTATTAATTTGGAAAGTTAAGATCCCTTTCCAATAAATAATTGTCTTTAATTTTTTCATAAAGATTTTTTTTTAGAAGTAAGAATGTTTACCAGTAACATAAATGTCTCAAAGAGGTCATCTATTTTATCTCAGAAGTGAAATTTTTCAACAGTTTCTCACCTTTATTATGTAAAAATTACAATATTTTATTTAACTTCACATGTTCAGTGTGTTTAGATAAAACTGAGATCACTGTAGGAACATATCAGTTATCATAGTTACCTATTAAAATAGCTAGCAACTATTTGTTCAGTTTTGCCTTGTTTTCCAGAATCTAGCCCAGGCTATTTTAATCCACACGTGTGGATATGCATGCGCATGCATTCAAACAATTTTGTAAGTATTCCTAATTATAGTCATACAGCCTTTGCTTCACAGTTCTTCTTTATGTTGAATAGTAGGTATTGAGTGTGAAAGAGAAATGCTTTTATGTTGATAAAACTTTGGTACAGCAGATTTTCTGGAAAATCAATCTAATTTTTCCTCATGATCTACAGAGGCATTAAATTTCATGGCTGCTTTAGTACTGAGTCAATCAAATGTGAAATATCGATACATTTGCACAGCATGAGTGACTGTATCCTGTTATTTTGATGAATAGTAGAAATGAGGAATATGAAAGAGAAAAACACTAAGTAGAGATTGCATACAGTGTTACAATGTTATTAAATGTCATCAGGCAAGATGATATCTTACTCTGTGTCCAATTTTAGTGAAAAAAATCAAGATGAAACCAAATTAATCCTGTTTAATTAATTTAAAAGCATAGATGTCTCAATTCCTAGAAACTAGACATCATTCATTCTCTTTCAGTTACTGATAGGCAAATATGCCAAAGTACTGCAAATAGTAGTACAATTTTGTTATACTAATTTAACTTTTCTGTGTAACCCCTCTCAGTCACTGAGGTCTAGAGATTCCATGGATGGGTATCCATACTTATGGATAACATATGAAACCGCAGAAATGAAATTTGAATAAATATCAAATTGAAGTAATTTAAAACTTCTCCTACTGTACCTCTCAGTTGTTTGTTAGGGTTTTTTTCCTTCTGAATATTTCCTCATTCAGGAATAAATGAGATTTCAGAGAACATGTCTATTTAGTTATTGCATGACAATACAGTGTTTAGCACTCTTCTTGATACTTGAATATTATGGTGCATATCTGTTGTCTTTTTGACTTTTATAGGCTTGTTTAGTTACTAAACCAGCAGATACTTCAACACATATTCTTCATTGAACCTGAGACTATGTGGCAGTTTTAGTGTTTGCTATTGGCAAAATAATTAAACGTTGAGGTTTCATTGTAGTGTTAGAGGAATGGACCTTCTCCCTGTCTCTGTTTATAGTCCATGAAATATCCAATAAACTGTGAGAGAGAGTAGTAGTGTTGATTTCACACAATGGGATTTGAAAAAGTCATTAATTTCCAGTGTGTTACAATAAAATCCACCAGAAAAAAAAAAAAAAAAAGAAGAGAAAAAAGAAAAACAACAGACCCACCATTTACTTTAATGTGTATTCCATGGAAAACTGTCAATGAAAATCCTCTTCCCAAAAGTAATGAAATAAAATGGTGTACATTACTTTTTTAAAAGGCCATGACATACAAAATCTGAGTGGATAAAACACGCAGTACAAACCTTCATTTTGGAGACCTTTTTTTACTATTGGTAAACTTACTAACCTGTTGACTATTTATGTGATTGTCTTTATTTTACCGAAACTGTTTTCCTTATATGATCATTACTGACATGTAAGACAGATTACCCCATATTTTCTTAGTTAATGTAGAAATCAGTTTCACAAAGATACTTAGAAGTAAATCTATCCCATTAGCAGCATTCTGTGAAATATGGGTTGATCTATTTTCCATAGCAGTAGTGCACGCTGGAAATTGTATTTTATTACTAATGGCATGGTTATAAACCAAAGGTTTCATGATGGGTCTGCTCGCTGTTCAGTGGTTCTCCAGAAGTTAACATAGTGGTGACTCATGCTCTGCTACTCTTTAAGGAGTTGATATTAAATTACTCAGACTTAATAGGTGGATATAGGTAGGGAATTGCATCCTAAAATGAACTAAGTTCCAGTTCAAACATCTTGTCAGAATATCTACAAGTAGTGGTAAGTGTCTGCAGCAATCTGCTTAATCCTTAGCTGTAGATGAAGTCTGTTCAAGATAGTGGCTGAAAACAGTCAGTAAATTTGCTGTTTCTAAGCAAGAAGGTTCAAAACTCCTCACAGGTATTTTCAGGCAATTAAAAAAAAAAAGAAAAAGAGACAGATTGTCATTAGTTGGAAATAAAATTTGTAAGATCATATTGTTTAATGCCTAACTGTGAAACTGTATGTGGAGACAGTATCTATATTGCTGTGTAATAGAAGTTCCTTGATTTGATATTCCTGAGTAGTGGTTCCTTATACTTCACTTACATTAAAATTTGCTGATGTGATCTGTCAGCAAATATGTAGAATAGACCTTTAACATCCATGGAGTATGTGGTTTAGGTTTTTTTCTTGTTACCAGCACAGCAAGGGTTGGTTCTCATGTTTTTGGATTGTCCTAACAGGTGTTCTTTGTACAAACTGCCAATGCACCCTATTGTGTTAGGAGTTCAAGGTATGCAGCTATGTAAAATTTGACAGACATCAGCTTGCTCATATGAAATATTTGCAACACAAGAAAATGTCTGAGGAATTTGTCAACACTATTGATTTTTCTGTCAGATAGTCTACATGGGCTGGACAGAAGAACGGGAACAGGACTCCCTTCAGGATCGAATGTACACACCAAAGTTTCTAGCACTGAGAGGATCTTCCCTCTATAAATTTATAGCACCTCCAGTAAGTATTTTTCTCATACTTAGTGGGAATAAATGTTATTAAGGAAAATAATTTCATGTAATGTGTACAAGGCTTTTGCAATGAGATATCACTCAGTAACAGGATTGAAAATAGCAGCACTGAAAAGTTCCAGGATATGTGGTATAGAAGTGACAGAAAGCATCTGTTCATCAGATGACTGAGCATTTTACAAGAATTTCTTTCCTGACACTAAACTGAGCACTTAGAAAAATAAAAGAAAAATCTACTTATGTTAAAAGGCAGCTTTTAACTTTCCTTTGGCAGACAGAAAAGGCCTGAAGTAAGATGGTTAAATTTCAACTGAACAATCGTTCTAGTGAAACTGCTGGGATTTGGGGAAATAGCAAAGCTTTTTGCATGCTGTGGAAATTGTAATATGTCTGTATTTAGATTTCATCCCGAATGTAAGTTTTTGCTGCTAGAGAGCTCCAAAGGAAGGTAGGGAAGCAAATTAAATTAAGTTAAATATTTTGATTGGAATCTGACTGGGAACACTGGGTAAAATTTTAGCTCTCGTCTTATACTCAGCAATTTACTTTTGCAGTTTGATGGTACATCTAAGCTGCAGTAAAGATCCCCTAGCTAACTTTTAAGCTATTTACTAAGGATCCAGTAGCAATCCTATGCCTGCAGCAGGGACAGTCATGTTCATTCATTTTTCCTATTTATTGAGTGACCCTGCTGACTGCTGCTAAACCCTGTGTTGCCAGATCCAGGCTGTAGCTCCTTCCTGCCTGAATCACAGAATTACAGAATAGTTCAGGTTGGAAGGGAGCTTTAAAGGTCATCTAGTGCAAGCCCCCTACAGTAAGCGGGGACACCTTCAGCTGGAACAGGTTGCTCAGAGCCTAGTCCTGCCTGATGTTTCCAGGGATGGAGCATATACCACCTCTCTGGGCAATCTGTTCCTCATGTGGTTCAAAACCAGATCACAAATCTTTACATTGTTCATCAGTATCTATTCCCATTTAGGGAAAAGGCTTAAAAACATATGAAAGACATGAGGAGTGGAAGTAAGTAGGAACTGAAAACTCCATGTGTTCAGTATTTGTACACTAGTTCACTGGTATGGGTTTGACTCTCCCATGATTGGTAATGGAAGTTTGGCTTTTGTTGGTGGATATTTTTCAGGATCAGATTAAAATATCAGATCAAGCTACTAAGCACCTTAATTCAAAAACTGTTCTGTCTTTGCTAGACCTACTTGAGCAATTGCTGCCTGTCAAATAAAGCCACCTACATTCTAGGCACTAGATAGAAGCAGAATTAATGTTGAGAGCTCCCGTTCAATATAAAATAGGAAGGTTATTCTTTTGTAAGCACTATCGAAGGGACTACAAGCCTCTGTACTGAAGAATCATAAGTTTTCAGGAGTAATATGTTTCTAGGAGGTAAATGGGTAATGGGGGGTGATTAACGGTTGTGGAAGGAACATGTTCATGGGGAGACTCTGAACCATGTGATGTTAATAAAGGAAATTTGACAAGCTGCTGTTGTATAAGACAAGCAACTCATCCTTGAGTTTTTATAGGTCTCGTTTCAACTGAGCTGCAAGCACAACATGATTTTGTTTTGTCAGATTCTGGCTCCTTTTCTAAAAGAGAAAAACGGTTCAAACATAGAGAAAGATATTTTCTTTCCATGGAGTAGGAGGGAAACAGAATGATAAACATGCTTTTTATAGGACAAACAGAGGAAGAGTTCCTGTGGAGTTGCCTTAAAGACATATTATCATAGTATAGTTTGGGTTGGAAAGGACCTTAAAGATCATCTAGTTCCAACCTCAACATGTAATGTATTAATTGCACGCTTATATGCCCAGAAAATTTTTCTTCTTATCAAAGACTGCAGAAAGCCTTCTAAAGGACTTCTAACACCCTATTTTTTGCATGCAAATGCATACTGTTATGTTTGCTATTCTGCAGGTATATATGTTTGTTTCTTCCAGGCATCACAAAAGATTACGAGGAAAGTTTCAACAACACAGTTTCAGAGCTTCTATTTATGAGATGCATAAAGTGTAGTCAAAAGAAAAACAGTTTTAATTATATTTGCAGTGTAAACTCCTTGGATGAAGTTTTTTTCTGAACAGAGATGTCTTGCCAAATTTTTAACCAGAAAATCAAATGAAAGTATTTCCCCAATCTTTACCAAAGTCTAGCACATTAGGGAAGTATGTGTTAAACAGCGTCTATCAGCAGCCTCTCCCTGCCTCTTTTTTTAGCTGTTTGATCAACAGTACTTCTACTTTGCATGCTCAGATAAAGGAGCACTCTTAATATTACTTATTTACACTTTAAAAGCTTTACAGAAAATTGCCCTTTTTTTTCTTTCTGTTATATTCTGGTACATTTTCTCCTTTAGAATTATTAATTGTGTCAGGTCTGGTGTGTATCAGTTTTTTACAATTTGCAATTGGAAATCTCAGACAGGATGGACGTGAGAAAGAGCCACTAACACCTTTTGTTTTGCTATTCAAGCTTTTAAATTAAAATATTAAAAGTGAACAGGTGAAGCAATTTCTGTGGCTGTCTTAATTCGACAATTGCTCTTGCTTTGCACATAGCGTTATATAGAAAGAGTTTTGGTTTGACCTGAAAATAAGTCCCTTCATAGGTACAAACAAAAGCAAAGAGAAGAGGGAGGTCTTATATTTTCCACCAAAGTTTTTAAACGTAGTTCCAAATGAGTCTGTGCTTCAGCAGCCATAGTAACTACTTTTCCTGATGGAGGAATATGACTTCAGCTGGTGTGGCTGGAGTTTAGGTCTCAGCGGGGCTGTAGCAAGATTCCTCTCCCCATTTCTTTGTTCTTGGTGAGAAATTCATCTTTTTGTCCATAGCATAAAGAGTAGCTTTATGGTTTAGTTGCCATACCTCATTAAGATGGTGAAAACTGCATTTGAGGATGACTGCAAATAAATAAAATTCTAATAATGGAACTATAACGCTGTATTTTTTAACTTTTCACTCCTGCCTATGATTTCCTGAAAGGAGTTTGTATTACAATAGTGTTTGTAACTAAAAATTAAGTTAGGAATAGAATTCTCTCATACAACTGCAAAAAATTTTGATCAAGAAAATTTTATCCCCTAGCATCCAAACTCACCGACGCTTCTCAGATGTGTTGTATCTATTATTGATTATTTTCTCTTTAGATAAGAGAGAAATTGTTCTCATACAGTATTTTTCCTCCTAGCCTGTGAACAGTATTTTATCATAAATTTTTCAAATAATTTTATCTTGAATCTTGTAGAACTAATAATTTGTGGTTTCATTAACCTCTTCATCATGCCTAATAAATTTAATGATAAAACCATCTTCCTTTGGAGCTATGCCAATATCTTACCATTAAGATTATTTTTCTTTCATATATAACCTCAGTTTCATTCTCTTTTGTGCCGCCTTCTGTATTTTGAGACTGTGAATATTCTCCTGTTTCCATTTTGCAGTTTCTTTGAAAAGTTATTTATAGATTGTTGTGATATTGTCTTGACTCTTACCTTACTGAATATATTCAGCTATCTTTTTCTGTCCTATTTAAGTCTTACCTCTTACCCTTTTATTTAATTGTATTTAATTCTTTTATCTATGAATTTTTGTGTAAAATAATTGCTTAAAATTAATACAGTTAAACACAATTGTCAAATCCCAAGCCAAAGAGGAAAAATAAACTATTCTTCAAATGTTCGTTGTTCGAATTTAGAAGTAGATCTTGATAAGAAAAAAAAAGAAAATGTATACTTGCCTCTTGTTTCATGGGGGTTTTTTTCCCTCTGGATTTCAAGGCATGTGAGGTAAGTGTCTGGGACATTGCAAGGTTGGAGACTCATTTTATGGATTTGCAAATACTGTAGGTGACTGGGAGCAAATAGTGGCATGCAGTTACAAGGAGGAAAGTAAAGAGAAACATATGTTCCTGTAGTCAGGGCACTGGCTCTCTGAGATGAATTCAAGGGGTGTATCCTCTCAGGATCTCAATGCGACCCCTACCAGTTCCCTGGGGAAGCATCATCATTCAGCACAGAGCAGCCAGCATGCAAAGACACTGCACTGTAAATACAGGGAGAACTTCTTCCAAGCATTGCCTGGATGGAACAGCCTGGTCCCCGCTAGTTATTGCTCTGAGGCAATGCATGGTCTTTCTGTATACATTATACTGAATGTAAAGAGCTTAGGGATATAGCTTTATTTTTGTTAATAAACTTACTTCCTGAAATAAATGAAAATAACTTAATTTCTTTTTCTGTGGTTTTTTTTCTGTTTGTTTGTTTTGTTTTGTTTTGTTTTGTCTTTTGTTTTTGTTTTTTTTCCCCAAAGGTCACAACCTGGGATTGGACACGAGCTGAGAAAACATTTTCAGTTTATGAGATAATGTGCAAAATTCTCAAGGTATGATGAGAAAGTATAAAATAAATTACCACTCTGACAGACCAGTTGTCAAACCAGAGAGTAACGCTGACCACCTTGCAGAAAGAGATCTCATTTTTTCCCTTTGAATTCAAATATCAGAAGTCCTGGTGTCAGTAGATACAGAACCAAACTAGAAGGCATGGCAAAATTGAAAATAAATTGATTTTGACTAGGAAACTACTTTGTATCTCCATAATGCTGTATGGGGTTTACAACTTTAATGTCACATTTAATAAACACGACATTTCATTTTCTAACTGAGGACCTAAAGAAACGGTGATCAATTTGATTGTTTTCGAATATGTTGATGAAACTAGTAGTGGCTGCAATGTAAGATTTCACTAGGCCTGAGAGCAGTCTTTAAAATACACAATACCATTCCGAAAACTTTTGTCTTATTTTTTCTAATTTCTTCAGTTTACCCTAGCTGTAACAAATGGGAAGAGATAATGAAATAGGTTTAGAATGCTAAAACTATGAGTACAAAATTGAATAAGACCATTACTGTACATTGATTTTAATTTTTAGTTCTCAATTCAATCAGAATTAATTTATCTTGTCTTCTCTCTATTTTAAAAACAGTGAAAAACAGGTGCCCAAAATTTTCCATGAGAAAAAAAGGGATGAAAAGAAATTGTCTCTTTCCATTAAACTGAAGTGCCTTCTGGTGTATGTTGGTTTTGGGTTTTTTAGGTCAAAATTGTGTAAAATGTAATTTGGACTTTTCTGGACTTTTATCCAGTTCGATGCAGACTAGTATCAAAAGGATGTATGAAAAAATAATATTTTTTTTAAAAGTATTTCCCACTGGGAAGACCTTTTACTGACATAAATAGTACATTTCCTAGGTATTGTAGATCTCATAGGTGCACTATATTTTCCTTAGGGAGGCAAATTACAGATGTAATGCCTTAATAAAATTCAGAAACTTCTTACATCTGAGACTTCAAAAAAAAGAAAAGAAACAAAGTTTGTAGTCTGAAAAAAAAACTCCTTTGCTAGCAATCTGAACAGAAAAGTGAAAGATTTTCTTTTACTGCTATGATGACCGTGAGGCCTGGAGACTTCATCAGGGAGTAAAATATCCCAAATGCAAAACATCACATCACTGTGGCATGTCCTTTAACTACCAAGTCTGTGTAAATATTGACTCCTTAGAAGTGGTCATGTAGGGAGAGAAGTTACAGGAAAAGTTTTTCACTCTTTGAAGACATTGCACTAAGGGTGTATACAAACAATGCTCTTAGAACACAGTCAGGCTTTAAGAGAGTTGAAAAATCTCAAACCCTTTTCCCCCACCCTGCCACGCTTCTGCCCCCCCCCTCCCCCCCATTAGTCTGTAATTGCTTCAGGCCTTGGGCTTATTGTGGTAAGCATCAAGGTAGCTCTTCTTTGTCAGAGAAGTGTGGTGGAGCCAGGAAGATGACTCCTTATGACTTATCCAAGGATTTTATTATAGTCCCTGTATAGAAATTTACAGAATGTATACCATATAGTTTTCTGTAACTTAAAGATCCTTCTTTTCCTTTTTTCTAGCCTTTTGCCTTTGTTGATGCTCTTCTCATTTGCTCTCAATTTTAGCCATTTTTCTTTTTTCCCCCTTCTCCTGTGTCCCCTGTTCTTGCATATCAATACATGGATTTTTTTTCTCTTCTCAGCAATTTAGCAGAAGTTATTACAACCAAAGAGTCAGTCCACAAGGCAGTAAAACCTGAACCGATGCCTTCCTGCCACTTTTGTGTGGAAGCACAGAAAAGACTACAAAGATGACGTTTTTTCTTGTCATCAGCTTTCCAAATTGTCTGGGAAGAGGTGTAGATCTTCCAGCCTCAGTCTGTATTAACAGATAGGCAGAGAGGAAATTCCAGTTTAAGTGATATAAGAATATCATTTATGTGTTTCTTTATCACTTTATTCCTACTCAGATATTCCTTTATTTTCTGTAAATATGGTCAAGCTTTTAAAGTCTTGAAATGTTTCAAACAGGTTCTTTGGCTTACTAAAACCTGTAAATAATAAAAAATGGAAGTAGAAAAATCATTGCAATAAAATGGCAGCCTATGACATTGGAGTATTAATCTTCACTGTTTTCTAGTTTTCTACAGCAGTTACTGTAGGACTTAACTATGGTTTCACTAAATATAAAAGCAAATAAAACCAGGAAAAACAGCTTCCCATTACTGCTACTACATTGAACATCTGTAGAGACTCAAGGTTTTGTTCAACTTTTATGCCAGCACCATAAAAGTCTCCATTTTAGCAATAAGTGTTTCAGGACACATTTGTGCAAACCCCATGGGTATTACTGAAACAGAGGCATCGTAAAAAAAGTTACTCTCATGTTTTGTGATCACCTTCAAATTTTTCCTCTCTATACTACCTCACTTGCTATTTTTGTTATAAATCTGTTTGCCTTGGAGAATAAGTTGAATGGCAAAAGGACAAAGTAACAGGGTTTGAAGTAATTATATTCTTAAGGATTGATAGATAGCATGATAGCTCAGGAAATCTAATGAGAAAATGAAAAGAACCCAGGTTTATTCCACTACAGAATGTTCCCACTCCTGCACTTCCTGTTCTTCCATGGTAAAGACTGAATTCATGTAATTCTTTTCAGGAAAATTGAGACAATAGAATTATTCTGTTTCTACTTCAGAAGAGACAATAACTGTCATTGGGCAGAAATAAACCCCCAAAGACAGTAATGCCGTTTGCAGGACAATGTCATCCATCAGTGTCTCTGAAGAGGGTTTAGTTCCATATTCTTGAATAAACTCAAATTTTTCTGTGCACATACTCACTAGGAGTAATAGTGAATCATAGAATTATAGAGTAATTTGCATTGGAAGAGACCTTTAAAGGCCATCTAGTCCAACTCCCCCTGCAATGAGCAGGCATGACTGCAACTAGGTCAGATTTCTCAGAACCCTGTCCAACCTGACCTTGAATGTTTCACAGCACCAAGCCTGACAGAGTTCAAGAAACATTTGGACAATGCTCTCAGGCACATGGTGTGACTCTTGGGAATGGTCCTGTGTAGGGCTAAGAGTTGGACTTGATGAACCTTATGGGTCCCTTCCAACTCAACATATTCTGTAAATCTGTGATTAAAATTTATCTATGAGTAATTTTCAACAGAATCGGTTAGAATTTACTATGGATAAATATTTCTAATTTTTTTGTGCAAGAAGCTTTTTTCATCCAATCTTTTATTTTGAGGAGTAAAGCCCTGTTAATAGTCAACTAATTTTAGTGTTACAATTGAACAAATATTCAATACTCCAGAAAAGCAGGTGCTTCTCTCCCTTCTAGCTTCAGAAATGGACAGATGACCTTGTCCTCTTCGGTACTTCAAAACTGGTTTAACTGGTTTTTTGTATCTGTTCTTTTGTTACCTCTTATATTTTTGATATGCAGTTTTAATATGTGTATTTTGAGTCTGTGTGCATGTGCATGCACGCGCAAATGTGTATAATTTAAAAACATCTTAGATAAATTGGTAAACAGTTTAAATATTTAAACAGTTTTTCTATATGAGGTTTAGAAAAAGGTTTATTACATTTTTCAGGTAAATTTTGGACAATAACGTAAAAGGTTGCAGTTCTCTGCCCCTTTTACTTGAGTTACTTACTTCTTTAGCTCATCCAAGCATCTGTTTTCAGTTGTGAGAAAATGCTTTCTATAGTTCAGTCACCTGGCTTCTATCTTCAGTGTGTCATGCAAAAATATTTGGAAATTCACCATAAAAACATGCTTTATTCAGCAGGAAACAGAAAACATATTCAAGTGTCAGACCAGCTCTGAAATGAAATGTGAGGATAATTGTGGAAGACAGTCTATGCCGGCAATATGTCAGGGTAGTGAATCATTGATGTTTATAGCTAGTATAATTCATATCAGTGCAGCTATAATTTTCTTGCTATATTAATCAGGACCAACTTGGTGTCTCAGAAGACTTGTGATTTCCTTCTTTATTTAACTGTTGGTATGTGTAAAACCTCAAATGTAGTTATGTTAATTTTTCCTGCTTAAATTGCCTGTAATTATGCTGTCCATTTCCAGTAAGTCAAGTAAAGGAAAAAGGTGATATAAAAAGCATGGGAAACTACTGGAAATGTTTATATGTTCAGATTAATTTTAAAAATAATGCAAATAGACACATAAACATATAAAATGAAAATCCAGAACATATTTTGAAGTCTATCATTAATATAGTTAGCTCAATGGCTGAGGCTTGCATCCTAAGTTGATTCCTCTAAAGTACTTCTCACATACTCAAAACTGCAGAAGTAATGTATAGGTTAATGCTACATCCATGGAATATCAGATTTTCAGCCATGGTTTAGCCAGGTGTCAATTCCTGGAAAAAATGCTAAACTGATGAGTGTTCCAGTTGAAAACACTTCGAGTAATTTTCAGTCTTTCGTTTGTCTTCTGTTCTACATTTAAGAGTATTTAATGTTGCCAAAGAAAAGAGGTTTGTTTTCCCCTCTAACTAGAATTATGATTGTTTTCTACGATAAGAAAAATAGTAAAAGTCTTAAATATCTCCATGTCCACTTACATTAAGACAATCATTAAGTTGGCTTCAGTTATACGATAAAGAAAAACTTCCCCTGTACTGAAATCGAGCTCCTGACAAGGCCATTGGATTTCCACCACTGGATCCATATAAGTGTAAGCTAGTGTGTAGCTGCTACTACAATGCATGGAGATAGCCACTAGATGATCTCTGGTCAGATTGCACATGTTTCCTGTGATTCCGTATGTGATTTCAGTTCATTTCTTCTGAACATATGCATAGTTATACAAGACCTAATCTGTGGTGTGTTAATTTGGACAAATTTATTGGGTCCTCTGTGTTAAAGGCGCTGATGTTGCTCTAACTCTACAGCACCATGTAAAAAACCTTTTTGAAAGCAAAGAGGCAGTGTTATTACATGCATGACAACTACCATTGTATAAAGGCTCGTTAACTT